GACTTCTTTGAGAAGAAGACAGGCATGTGCTGCAAGCTCGATTATCGACGATTTCGTGACGATATTAATTTATCAGCAAGCACGTGGGGGCATGCCATTAACGGCCTTATCTAGCCATAACTTGCATGTGCGGTCATTTCATTCATTTTGTTACGTTTCGCTGCCTTAAATATCTACTGTCTCTAATTGTAAGTCAAAGAATTCTTAGACAAAAGAAAGTTTATTATAAAGGTATATTCAGGTATTCATACAGAAAATGGTACTCGAGAAAGCACTTTTACACTAATCATCTTGCCATCGCTGACCGCGCAAAATTCTAGTCCTGTCATTCGTAATTTTTAAACTCTTTCCATTTGAAAACTATTTTAGCTTCAATACTTTTGTATTCTGCATTCTCGGAAGTTTTTTTAATTCTATGTACATCATCACGTATTTTATTATTGAAAAGAATAGATGCAATAGAGACAGATTACAGGTGCGAAGCACAGTGCTAAATCGTGATATACACACAACTTCTTTACATCATTAATAGTTTATAGCTGAGCAATTATTTTAAATACACAAACAATGTACATAATATTGTATTTATGGAAATTTTTGTGTGGGAAAATAGGAAATCGTATAACAGACAATTCGTCGCAATCACACCGGATGATCATAATTTATAAACGTACTAGAAACAAACAACGAAATACATTTATACTTGCTATCTATACTTACTCCTCTATTTATCATAGTTTGCATTAGATGACGTAAATTTCAAACATTACTTGTTATTCTCATCGCTGCTCGATAGAAGCTGCTTTTTGCAGAGCTAATGGCAATAAGCACTTCCTTATTCTGGTTATCGTATGCTCGGTACGTTTGATATTTCATCTTCCAGAGGAATATATTTGCATGCGTATTAAAGTAATTCATGCTAAACCATTTCCACAACCATTTTAATTCGAGTTAATTAAACAGAGATTTATAATCAAATCCCAATTAATTTTAATTAGGGTAACTCCAGCAAATACGCCGCACTGGGATTTACGCCGCAGAAGTCAGAAAAAAATAGAAGGAGTGGGGGTAATTTTCCCGCATCTACTCTGTTACATGTCTTTATGTTATATTAGTATTGTGTTATGATTTCAGCTTCTTATTGTTAATATTAATGAAATTATTGTGAGTTGAATCGATCTG